CATCTTTTACAGATGAGCGGTAAGGGACTCTCCACTACCCATTCAGGTAGTGATCATCGAAGTGATGATCTCATACCTCTCCTGCCTCGCACTTTGGTGGTACCGGTCCAGCAAGTCTTGATGCATCTCATAGGGATACATGTCCTCATAGGACTTTTGGAGTTAGGAAGTCATTGTCGCTAGCATGATGAAATGGACTTTCGTGGCATCACGCTCGTAGGCCTCAAAGGCAGCGATCTCTTCGGTAGTAGCAGTGTTCATGTCGATCTCCTTCAGCTCCTTATCAAGGACATACTCTTTGTCCACATAACGGGTGACCATTCTTATGTTACGGATCCAATCGTTGAAATTGTTTCCGTCGAATATCACCCTCTCACACAAGTTCATGAGTGAGAATGAGCCGGAGGAACTCGAGTCAGAAGCGTTGTTGTTGTTCATGTTCGACATCTGAAAAGGAAAAGAATGAAGTTTGATTATAAATGAATCCCTAATTAAACACCCAAATGAGAAATTAGGGCTAGGATCCAACAACATTATTCACATATTAGAAGAGGGATGCCGTAATCTAACATGCAAATAATTTGAAGGTAAGTGAATGGCGATTCACTAATTCTCCATCATAAAAAACGAAAAGAAGATTAAGTTTTAAATGTATTGAAAACTCCTAAATCTTTTTTGAGATTCATTGAACTTTTCAATGGCATGTTTAAATCTCGATATGCCCCTCAAGTTTGTGACTGGGATGCCGAGGATCACAAAGCGTATGTGAATAACCATGAAAATATACATGGTGCCCTCATTGTTACAGTCACCTATTCGATGTGCCGGTTAACCACACACGCTCCATCGAACTATGACAAACATGAGTAACCCTTTGCCACATTTGCTTAGACCCAATTAGTGTGCTAGTTAACCACACACGCTCCACTAACGTCTTAGCAAGGGTACAAAGTGTAATTTCATGGAATTGCATCAATTCACTTTTCCTAAAGTAACTAAGATTGGGAATTTTTTGTAAAAACATTTAGTTACTTTTATAATTCATTATACTTATTAATGAGAAAGGGTTGCCCTATCCTACCCGTTCGGCTGACGACCCTCCACCAATCAAGGAAGCGGTGGGTGAGAGTGGACACCCATTAAATGGTCATTTTATAGGCCATAACCTTATACCCCCTTAGAGATTGGCTTCGTGAATGATGCATACTAACGGTAAGACTAGCATTTTAGGTTATACATATATACATATTAATCTTATAATATTATAAAGTATAAGATTGAATTTTAAACTTGTAAAATTCTAGGGTTTGAAATTTAAAAAGTTCAAATTAAACATTTTAATCACAAAATTTAAATTTCAAAACTTGAGGACAAGTTTTTGAACTTTTCAAAACACAAAGGATCAAATAGCAAATAATTTTAAATTAAACAATTAATTTAATGATTATCTAAATTTGACCTAATCAAGATTATTTACAAGATAATTCACCAAATAAATTCAAATAATCAAATATTATTAAGTAAGGAATTTATCATTCAAATAATTGGTAATTATCTTTTGTTTTGTTAAGGATATTGACAAAAAGGTAATAAAATTCAGATTTTATTAAACTAAAACGATTTAGGTAAGTATCCTTAAGCAAAACAGCAAGAAATCCCGAAAATCCCTCTGTCTGACGCTCCGACTCGCCGAGTCCCCTTATGGACTCGTCGAGTTCATCCTACTCGTCGAGCCCACATTGGGACTCATCGAGTTCGTCAGGAAGAGAGCACAAAACTCGATTTTAAAGCTTGAAAGAATAAACAAGGCATCAATACAATAGAAACCAAGCATAGCTCTGATACCACTGATGGGTTTTACACAAAAGAACATTCCTATGTGCACATGCAAACCCTAATTATTTGGATCTAGGTTTCTCTATTGTACATGCAATTCATCCAAGATTTTAAACCCTAGATCTAGCATACATGATACAAAACCAAAGTAATTAATGAGATGTAGATGATTACCTCTTCAAGAACTCTTGATCTTTCTTCTTCCTTGAGCTTAGAGTCACAAGTGTAACTCCTCTAATGGCTTACAAACACCAACAAGCAAGAGGGTAGTACTTGAGAGAGGGAGAAGGCACACAAAGTCGGCTCTAGGGTTCTTAGAAAAGCAGTGGCCGAAAATTGCATGCATATGATCCTATTTATACTGTGGGCAGCTAGAGTTTCAGTCAAAACCCTAATGGACAGCTTAAACCCTAAGCAGCCCATGGAACCTTCTGGAATATAGGCCATGGACGAAAATATGATGGGCTCCCATCATAATTTCGTTCACCCCTTAATCCATTAGGTTTCCCAGCCCAAAATACAACTATCAAACATTTGACAGTTTAAGTCCCCTTTATTCAATTAATCTCTTTTAGTCACCAAATTAATTCCTAATTAATTTATGACTAATATTAATTAAATAATATGATTTCTCTTTTAATATATTATTCTTATAATATATTAATAAACCATAATATCTTCTCTCTCTCCATAAATCACCCTGTCAAGTTGCTATAGTGAAGGCAACCCAAAAGAACCATGCACAACCGGGTCAAGTACTTACCAAATATAGTTACGGGCTTAGACACTAATCCAACAGTTAGACCATGGGGATAGCCCATGGCATTTCAAGGAAAGGCCATGGAGTAGCCTATGGCACTTAGTTGTAAGACCCTGAGGGTAGCCCATGACATTTCAGGGAAAAGACCATGGGGTAGCCCATGGCACTTGTATGCAAGACTATGGGGATAGGCCATGACAATATATGTATGTTATGTGGTATTTTTGGGAACTCACTAAGTTTTGTGCTTACGGTTTATGTTTAAAATGTTTTTCAGGTACTTCTGGTACGAAAGGGAAAGACCCGGCATGATCGCATAGCATCCACCTCTGTTCAGTATTTTATGATTTTGGGATTGTATTACTGATAACTATTTTTCCACATTACCATACTTTGATGGTTTGAATGAATGATTGATGGTTTTAGTTGACTTAAAAATAAAAAAATGTTACTTAGTATTTTTGGGATATTACACTGTAACCATAAAATACTTATAGTCACATATTATTTTTTAAATGGTAAATATTGTTTATTTTTAAACAAAAATAATAAATTAAATCAGGACATTTAGATGCTTACGGTCACACATTTGTTTTTATTGTTTCATGACTACTGATTATTTTTAGTAACACATAAAATTGTGACAATAAAATACAAAGTCCCACATTTTTTTACCATGAATATTATTTACGTTTAGGCATACAAAACAAATCAAACTGTAGACACAAAAAGACAAAAGCTTACCGAAGTAATTGACTCGAAAATCCCCTTTGGGTTTATCTATGTAATTGCTTTTTGGTAGTTTGTTGTTAGTCTCTTCAATAAATTAAGATGGTCAAAAAAATAACAAACGAAACCGTGACAATAAAAAACTTATAGTCACACCAAATAGGGTATTATGAGTAACTGAAATAATCAGATTCATTGGTATTTCTAATAAAGTAGATGCTATCACACTTACAATCATACTTAATTCGATGGAATTATTTTCTCTTTTAACATGACGATCACTTATTTTTAGACACCCATATGAATTTAAATTGTAGCCATAAAATACTTATATTTACAAAAAGATTTTTCTTAACATTTCGCTAATAAACTCTCCCCTTTGGTTACAAAAAATAATTTTCGTGACTAAATGTTAACGCTAAGGTTTATTAATGTGAGTATATCCACCTTATGATTTAGTCACATAAAATTAGATGTCATGTGAGCTTATATGTTTTTACGTTTTTATGTCTCGGCTAGTAAGTGTTACAATATAAAGTTAGACTTTAAAAAAAAAAAAAAAAAAAAAAAAAAAATACACGTAAGAACCGATGAGATTTTGTCACAGTTATCGGTCGTGACTATTGACTAAAACTCGTTATACTTTTTATATAAATTGTGGCTAAACTAGAGTCTAGAATGCATAGATATAGTATAGAACTTGAAGAACAATTCCAGAATGTTGAACTAATTGATAGAAAGGTGCCTTGGATAGGTAGTTATTTAGTTTTAGTGACCCAAAAGATTAGAAAAATAGCTATGTAATAAATTTGTTTTTAAATGTTTTTTCTTAGTCAAAAATACTAGGTGTAAAACCTGTGTATTACACGAGTTGATTAAACAAAAGATTAAATATTAAAATATAAACGTTAAGTATTTTTTAAATAAAATTTTGAAATAATGAATGAAGAAACCTATTAATTATAATTATTATCATATTTATTACATTTAATACTTTACATATATAAATATAGAAGTATTATCTTGCCTTTTAATATAAATTGAAAAAACCAACAATTAATATGTAGATATTATTTATTTAAAAAATATAATAAAATGACAAGTGACACGTATCAAAATGAATCTTCATTTAATATAATCGATTGATTTTATTTTTGAAAACTTGATAAATTTGTTTTGAGGCGCAAAGAGGTAAAATGTATCCATACGAAAAAAAAAATCTATTGGTTTTTTATTTTGATTTTTTGAGCTTGCATGGATTTTTATGTCCACGGTTTTTTTAGATTAATGGATGAATAACTACTTTTTATTAAGTCATAAAATAGGTCTTAATTGATAAAGATACATACATTTATATTAAGTCATAAAATAATAATATTAATAAATATGATATTTTAACAATTTCTAAGATATACTAGTATATAGTATTATAAAGATGGTTTTATAAGATGGTATAATCATATACAAATTTTTAGACAAAAGAATAAGCATTAACGATATATAGTCAAAGTTTCTTCGGTCAATAAACACAATAAATCATATTACAAGTAAGACTGTAAGAAGTGTTTCCATGGTGGACCCATCCTTCTGATCTAAAGAGGATGAACCAAACCCAGAGTAAGTCAAAAATAAAAGGAAAAAAAAATCAAATTCAAATTAAATCGTGTGAAGATTGCTAACTTGAAAAAGTCCATTTCCAGATCTTGATCCGTAGATCCACCTTGCATTTAGCATCAGAAACAGTAGCAGCCACCGAAGTTGATGAATTTTTAGACTTACCGCCACCACCGTTTGGAACGAGGCTATGAATTCCTTCGCATTCAATTCGAATCCCAACTTTTTTGGTTCTAATCGATTCGATCTTCACTCTAGCTTCAGTATCAAGTAATATCTTCAATGACAATCTAGATTTCTTCTTCAGATCTGATCTGATCTGATTCACTATAGTCGATTCCAGAAGCAGAGAGTTACTGTACAATGATGAGCGTATGATGGTGATGTTATTGGGATTACTGACTAACGAATTAGTAAAGGACCCATTCGCGATTTGGGTTTCCTCTGATAAGCATGTGATGGTGATTGGATCGTAGTAAAACACTACTTTCTTATTTGGGTTTTTGGTGGAAAGGGTAAGATTGAGGTTGGATGTGAGGCGGGTTGTGTCGTCGGAGGTGGTGGTGAGGTTGAACTGGGAGATTTTGAGTGCTGTGATTGAGAATGTTGGACGATGGGGCCGGTAAAGGAGGTACAGGATGCAGCCTGTGATGGTGGCGAGGAGGAGGAGGAGGATTATGATTAAGATTGACCAGAAACAGCATAGGCAGAAGTAGCTTCGACGGCGATTGCGGTGATATATGTTAGGGTTGGGGCGGTAAGGGTGGCGATTGAGATTAGGGTTGTAGAGTTGGGGTTTGTTAGTCGGTGGTGGTGTTGGTTTAACGGCGGCTGCGCCTTTGGGCTTTGATGGAGGGTAGACAGGATCTGCCATGGTTGACAATGAGTGGGACTGTGGGAGAGTGATTGTTGCAAAGGAGTATGAAATCAAGGCAGACACATGGGATTAAGTAATTTTGAAGATTCCAAGTCATGTTTATAAAAAATGATTAAAGTTTTAAAGTACAAATCTAAAGCTCACATCCAGAATTAAAGATTTTAAACTATAAGATTTGTATGTTACTATCTTCTTTTAATTGTCAATGTGATGAAATGAAATAAGTAAATTACATTTATATTTATATTTTTATGTTTTTTGTTTTTGAGTGAATTGCACTTTTGATCTATCTCGCTTTTAATTATTTACAGGAAAAGAATAAATTAAATTTTCATTTCTTATAGTTTTTAGTTTAAGTAAATTTTACTATCGAGGTCCTTAAGTTTTTAATTATTGATAGGAAATAAGTAAATTATAGGGATAATGATTTAAAAGGGTAACATATTATTGGGTTTGTACATATTTAGTCCCTGATTTTTTTTTGTCCACATTTTCCTGTTGAACTTGTTTTTGTGTGTAATTAAATCCTTATTACAGGTTGATGTCATATTTGCTGACATGGCTGCATATGTGGACAATCATTAAAAGAAAATACTCCTACGTGGATCATCTCTGAGTTCCATCGATTATAATACGATACCTAACCCTAAATTCAATCAAAAAAACTTTCGAACCCATACCTAAAATCGAAGAAGAAGATGTCGCAAGGTTCATCTGGTTCCATCGCAAAAAAGAGGAACTTTGTGATTGTCGACTCCCAGTTCGAATATGCATATCCAAGACTAAAGACAACCCTAACAAAAAGTTCAAAGTTTGCCCCAATTCTCTGGTATGTCGATCTTGATTTCCCTATGTACATTTGATTTTCCTTCTAATAAATAAAGATATTGAGCTTCTTACCATCTTTATATTTGATTTCGAAGAAACCAGGTAAGAAGTGTAAGTATTGGGAAATGATTGATGAACCTGTGACTAGGAATCCGGATTTAGAACAAGAACTTGAAGCAGTTAAAGATGATGTTGCATATTTGAAAAAAGAAGTTCAAGAGCTGAAGAATAAAGCACATAGTTATAGGGTTGAAATCAGTTGTAATATTATCTGAAAACAGTTGAATGGAGTTTGGTATGATGTATGAATTTTCGTAGTTTGAATGTATTGAATGGTTTATATTGTATGTTGGGTTGGTATTGAATGAAATGGTCCATGGTACACATTTGAATGTAATTTACATTGAATTTGGCTGCACTTTCAACAACCAAACGACAATGACATTGATAGAAACAAATATGATCCCCAGTAGACATTTGACATATGATTCCCATTATAACAAGATTCTTAATAAACTAATGAATTGGTACCAATAAAGATTGAAAAAAGACAAAACACAATTGGCATATAATACCATATCCGATTCCATTACTAAAAGGCCATCAAAAGTTGCTAGGTTACAAGCAAGGGTAGTATTGTAAATTACATCAAAAGTTGGCCCAATTCTCAAAAGAAAGTCACTATACATAGTGTACTATTATATACTTCCAAAGAAAAAGAAAACAAATAACCCTAATCATTCTAAAGTAGCTGGGTTGTCCTCAGTCACTCCTTTGCCATCCTTTCGAAAAACCTACTTCCTGATTTGCATCTTGTTGGTTATCTCTAAAGGCTTCCTTGCTCTAACACCAAGGCTTTTAGGCACTATAACACCAAGATTCACAGGAACTTGGTTAATAGGTATTGGATTCACAGGATCTTGGTTGACAGGTACTTCATTCACAGGATCTTGATTCTCAGGATCTTGATTCACGTGCTCTTGATTCATATGGACATTCTCTTGAATCACAGGCTCTTGATTGACATGCTCTTGAGTCATAGGATCTTGATTCATATGTGTTGGAGTACTTGGAGCTGGAGTGCTTGGACCTGCTTGTGAAGGACATTTTTTTTTGCATTACTCTTCTTTCTTGGTTTACTTGGACCTGCTTCTGAAGGACCCCTCATTGGTCATGTAGCTTTGTTATGTCCAGTTTCATTACAAATTATACATCTGTGTTGAACACCTGCCATGCTTATAGTATGTCTTGTATTCCCACTGGGTTCATTTTCTGCTTTGTCTCTTTTTCTTTTCACACATGGCCTACTAGGTAACTTCCTCCTAATAGGAGGTAGTATATGGTGAACATTAGGCATGTGGGGCCACAAGTTACTATCATTCAGGGGATGTATGGTGTACTCATAGGCCCTAAGAAATGCAGATTTAGTAAACCGCTCTACAACATATTCCTCTTAATCAAGATTCAAATAAGATATGACACATATGGCATGTACACATGGAATTCCTGTCAATTGCCAACCTCTACATCCATATTCTCTCTTCTCCAGGTCAACACCATACCTTTCATTACCTTGCACAACTTCAAACTGTTTGTATCCACTAACATATGGAGCCCAGAATCTGCCATTACAAAAAGTTAGTTAACACTTGCATGTACAAAAAGTAAGTAAAACATATATGGTCACTAACCTTCTCAACTTTTTTAGTTCACCAAGCTTCTTTCTGATAGTTGTACCGATTGCCAAATTCCAGTCTAATCCTTTCCCTTTCTGCATGTACAATCTCTCCATCACAAACACCCTTATGTCCTCTAACATAGTGATCAATGGCTTCTTTCTAGCTTCTTTAATAGCAGCATTGAAGCTATCAAAAACACCATTTTCCATTGCATCACATCCCATTCCCACCTTAAGAAAAGCCTTTGACTAACAGTTGGGGTCCGTTTTAATGAGATAATCATATGCCCCTACATCAAAGTGAAAGACCCCAACACTAAAATTTCCATAAAGCCAAACATGCTACATGCATATTCATAATTATAGTTCACATTAGTGGTCTAAATACAAAAGCATGGATACAAACCAACTAACAGGGTTTTTACAAAGTTTCATAACTAGTTGTATAAATACCTAACTACCCAAGAATTTATAATACATATACATATATGTATACCAAGTACAAACGTAGTAGTGTCAACTACTCTAAGTCCTCCAACAAAGTGTATCTACTCTGGATGCTTATCACCTGAAATAGTTAAACACCGAGAGGGATAAGCGAGTATCGCTTAGTGAGTTCAAAAATAGATACAATATAATGCTATGCCATATACATAACAATATGACAGGAACAAAAAGAAATAAAGGACAACAAAGGCTTATTTGTGTATCAAATGAAGGGCTTTCTAGATCAATCAACGGTTAGATTCAAGGGATTACAATCAATGAGACACAATAATTTAGGATCATAAACATCATAAATTCTAGCCCAAGTGGCACATAGAACACAATTCCTTTTTATCATGTTGCTAGAATATATAGGCTTTCAGCCCTACCTAGCCCGAAGCCAATACCAAAGTTATACGAGTCATGCTCTACATGGCCAAAGACACAAAGCCAATACCAAAGTGATACGAGTCATGCTCTACATGGCCACAGGCATCAAAATCCAATATCAATTAATAACCACTTAGATTAATAACAGAAGAAAGCACATCGCACATATAACACATAACATACAATTGTCCCTATATTGAACTCACTGTGCTGTAACCGAATGTTGCGATAGAATTCTGAATTCTGATGAAATTACACCATCCCCACGTCTCTAAAACCTGCAATTATACCCCTGGAGTTCATATTTCAAATTTCATAAGCAATTACTCAACTAATCTCAAGTTATGTTGTTTTCAATTTAGAAATTTTAGTAGTTGTTCTTTGTATAGCTGTCACTTCCAACCCTGTTTTCCTCTTCTTAAATATCAAAATAACTAATAAATTATAAATATTAACAAAATAAACTCTTATATATTTCTAATGCCACTGACCTCACATTTTAATAATTTTTCTATAATTTACTATGAATTTTACAACACAGTATCCCAAAGCTGTCAAAATTCAGCCTTACTGCACTTCACATATAGTTGTTTTCACCCAACTTAAGTCTGGAATTAGATTTTGGTGTTAAAACAAAAATCAAAGTATACATTCTTATATTTCAAGGGATATATAGCACATATCCATACGATTTTTCTATAATTTTTGGTGATTTTTAGAAAAACTGGACAATCATACCCTTTATGATTTCATTTTACCCTTTACATGGTCAAACCTCATGATCAATATCTCTAAGTTCTTGTTTTACAATGATAACACTGAATAATTTAGTAATCCATGCTAATTAAATTATAAACCATGGGTTTCATTACTAATTTTCAGTAATTACTCTTAAACCATGATTAATTCTCAAGTTTACATGTAGTTACTTGATTTCCATTTAAGATTCTAGGTTAATAACATAAACTCTGAAATCCGCAAATTCACAGTCCTTTTAAAAATTTTATTTATGCCTATATAAAAATCAAAGTATCCTTTTTGAAGAATAATATTGCAGGATTTGTTCCCAGAAAACATGATAATGATATTATTAAAGCATTTAAGAAGAAATGTATTTTTTATTCAAAACATTAGGATGTTATCGTCAATACAGAAACATAAGCATAAACAGACCTTACATTCATTACACTAATGATTTACATCTCCTTTTATCTCTCAGGGTAATGTATCTTTGTATCGAAACCTATGATATAAATAAACTAAGTGGGTCAGGCTGGGAAACATGGTGAGTACATAGGGTTTTCAACCCACAATAATATACTTATTATGTTTAATTATCAAACAATTAACCCAATTACCCATCCCCATTATCTTCTTTATTTTTAAGTATCTTCCCTAAGAATAATCTATTCCTCAATATTTATTCCTAAGGAATAGGCACGAAGTCCATCGCTGCCAGGATTTATCTAACATGCACTAAGTCCATAGTTGCAGATGTTGTCTATTAGGCACTAAGTCCATAGCTGCCAATATTCATCTATAGGGCACTTAATCCATAGCTGCCAACGTTCATCTGTAAGGCACTAAGTCCATAGTTGCCAGGGATTTTAGTGTA